TCCGTGTTCGTTGTAAAATTACAGTTACACGGATTCTCAGAATCCGTGTTTCTTTTAAACACGGATTGTGAGAATCCGTCCGTTTGATTTTTTTCCACAATTTTTTTTTTGGTTTTATTTTATTCCACTTATTTTTTATTTTTTTTAAATAAATAAATGATTCCAACTACACATACTATAAATAGAGGCAGCGATCAATTTATTCAACGAAAAAAAAAAAACACTTCATAATTAACACAAACTATAATATTTTGTTTTTACCCCTTTGGTGGCCTCCATCATTCATCACAAGCACCACAACTCAAATCAAAGCAAGTTGCTAATTATTAATGGATTTAACAAGGCCTGCGGCAAAAGCAACGCTTGCGAAAGCCCCGACAGTGGCCGCTCGGAAAGCCTTCGTTGCGGCACACGAGGCCGCAGTTAGTGTCGCTCCAACACTGCCCCTTGAAACCGTGGCTCTGCGAATCGCACGTTCGACCCGCCACTTTTACTATCGTGTTGCCACCGCGCATCTCCTCATCTTTCACAAAATGTGGATTAACAAGTATACGAAGAAATAATATCATCATAAGTAAACAAAATCCCATACATTTAAAAATCATATTTCTAAGAATGTATAGAATATTTTATGAACAAATATATCTACTTTAAACTAAAAATCATACTTTAAAACATTTCATCGCATAAATCTACCATTTCATTTAAAAAATGATGAATCGACTCTACTTAATTTCAACTTAAAATCATACTAGCGGGAGATGCTACAGTCCCGTTACGAAACCATTTCGTTGGGGTTCGTAACTATTAGATCATCATATAACCGTCTGATTCAACGGCTACAACCCCGACAGAATGGTTACATGTAATCGTTTGAAGTGTTGATCTAACGGTTAGAAACTCCGACGGAATTGTTCCATAATGGAACCGTAACATCCGTAATGGGACCATAACATTTCCCGATACTATAAAACATTTCATCACATAAATATTCAATTTCATTTACAAAATATGATGAATTGACTCTACTTTTCAACTAAAAATCATACTCTAAAACATTTCATCACATAAATCTTCAATTTCATTTAAAAAATAAGATGAATCGACTAGCTTAACGATTAGACCCGTCTCATACAAAAACTTTATGCAATTCACAAGCTCTCACCCTAGTGTAAGTTCACTACCCCAATTTCAAGAAAATAAAATATATAAATATTATCATAATAAGTATATGAAATCTCAAGATTTTTTCTTCCTTTTCTTTTTTTTTTTCTTATTATTTATTTTAAAGTGAAAGCTACTTACGAGTGGTGAAGAGCAAGACGATTAGCAGGAGGAAAGTGAAGACAGCCTTAGAGCTCATGACTATTTTTTCTGAAGCTCAACAAATGCCTTACTATAATTGTAGCTGCAAAATCCCTTTGAAATAAATCAAGAAGATAGTGTTCGACGTATATATGATGTGCAAGTGCAGCCGCTTGGAGACACGTAAAGAAGTTAAAGGGAACACTTGGGGGGTTTCAGCTTAATCCTCACCATGCAAATTGACAAGTATCACACTTCTATTTGGACCTTCTACACGTGTCCCCATTTGTTTTTGTATAATTGCAAGTCTTTATGAAAGTTCAAAATTTAAAATTTCCCATTACGTTGTAATATTTCTTGTGAGTTGGTACTACATTGATTAGGGAAAATAAGTCTAGTATATAAGTCTAATGGACTACTCTTCACATCACCAATTGACTTTGAAATGAAACCTACTAAGCTGCATCTAGACTCACTTCTAATGTCGCGATTCACCTGGTGGGACCGCACCCTCTTCTCTCGGTTCTAATATAGTATCAGAACGGACCTGTCCTAGGACTTGCAATGACTTTCTCTACCCTGCCGCTTTGGTCTTGGGCTTATCTCTCTACCTGACCTGCTATGTGGGCTTGAGCTTACGAAGGACTCACAAGTGAGTGGGTGTGGTGGAATATCACTTGTGAGTTGTCCCACATTGATTCTAAAGAGAAAATGAGTCTAGTATATAAGCCTAGTGGGCTACTCCTCCCATCACCAATTAGTTTTGGATAGAACCTCACTAAGGTGCATTTAGGTTCACCCTCTTATGATGCGCTTCATTTGGTAGGACCGCCATTTTGAGTTCGGCTCATTATCTAACGTGGTGCAGGGTAGACGACATGTCATAAAAAATAAAAGAAAAAAAAATTAGGGTTGCGACTAAGCTTGTAAACGAGCCGAGTCGAGTCGAGCCGAGCCGAGCTTAGCTTGAGTTCAAGTGTGAGGCCTTAACTAGCCAAGCTGAACTCGGCTTGTTTAATGAACGAGCAGAAATCGAGCTCGAGCTCGAGCTCGTTTATCACTATTAAGGAACCGAATTGTAGTGTTAACTAGTCGATCTCGAGCTTTAACGAGTCGTACTATAGAAAATTATATAATAAATCTTTTTTCGAGCTGAGCATCGACTCGTTAACCAAACAAGTTTTAAATGAGCTCGATCTTGACTCTTTAATGCCTAAAGCTCGAGTTGAACTCGAACCTTAACGAGGTAGAAGCCTAGCTTGGTGGGGTGGGACTGAATCAACGCAACTTGACAAAGACCGATTTTGGATTCTCTAGAACGGAGATGTAGCAATTTTACATGGGGTGAGACTGAATCATCGCGGAAGCCTAGCTTTGTGGGGTGGAATACTATCTGCTCGCGAAGGAAACTAGGGGTTTGGATTTTCAAAATCAACTCCAGATGAATCAGGCCATGATCATGAAACTCGAATTGGAATTGCTTGCAAATCATGATAAGCTTTGAGTTCAATATCGACTTGATACTGTTGCTTTACTATGTTAGAATTTTAGGTACGTAAATATCCAGATTTTCAGACAAAGATGAACAATTAAAATACGCAGCGGAAAATAAATAAATACGAACGATTCAAAAATTTAGCCTACAAGTGAAAATACTTGTAGACTAAGGCCACATGCCAAAATATCACTAGAACAAATCAAATACAATGTTTTTTTCATCCAATCCAAAAACATCTAGTGAACTACGAAAAAGAAAACACGAGTTCGACACAAGATATGAAAGAAAGCAAGCCGATAAATTTTGTTCAATCCGTTAATTCAGGCAGTGCTTCCTTGGAAAGATTGTTGCTGCTTATTGCTCCAAGAAGCAAGGAATGCTTTCTCTCCTCTTTTGACTCCACGCAGGTGCTTTTCAAAAATAAAAGAAAATTGCTTGATGTGATCTCTCCACAAGCAAGCCAATCAAAGTCTCTGTTTCTATCTCTCTTCTTTTTTAATTTTACACCATGAAGCACCTTAATTAAAATAAAAAAAACTACTCTGCCCTCCATTGTAGCCACGCTATATATTTTTTTCTGCTCTCAGAATAGTTGTTGCTCCACTTAATTTCCAAGATATAAATTCCATCCTTATCTCTTCCTTTCCAAGTAAGAATCCTATTAACAAAAGGAAACCAAATAATAATAATCTTCTACCAAAAATAAAATAACTAATATAAATATATATAAAGAGATAAACAAAAATCAGAAAAGCAAAACAAAATAAAATTTAAAAATAACGTATTCAACAATCTCCCCCTTTTTGCTTTTCTGGACAAAACAATATATGCAAATGACACGAGTAAAAACATAAATTGATCACTCCCCCTAAATAACACATTGAACACAAATAAAAGATATAAAGGAAGAGAAATGCAAACAGTGATAAAGTCGAGCACTCGACGATCTCCATCTCCCCTTTTTTGTTCAGAAAACATGG